ACAAATTTATTTGAGCATAAGCTTTCGTGGGCTCAAATATATATTGTTAGTCTCTAAGGTGCCACAAGTACTCCTGTTCTTTTTGCGGATACAGACTAACACGGCTGCTACTCTGAAACCTGTCACTTTAAAGTGGCACTTTGAGTGAGGAGCTAAGGGTAATGAAACCTCTCCTAAGATCACTCCATCCTCCCAGCACACTCATTGGCAGGCGGGTCACTGCCTCACATGATGGAAAAGAACATGCGGACGTTTGAGACTTTCTGAATCACGGTGGCTGAATGCACCTTGCGGGGGCCACGCGCATTGTGCAGCAGCCCAGCGAGCAATGTTAGAGTCTTGCGGTCACTTGTAGCAGGTACAATCCCTTTGATTTCATTGGAGTTACAGCCACACCCACCAGATCGGAAGCTGAAGTGTAACCTTCAAAGCCCAAAACACCGATCAGAATTTGAAGGGATAGGAGGGAAAAGTCCATGACTGATTCCCCAAGCGTGACCCCTGTTTACTGAGGCAACCAACCCTAGCAAATCACGGTAGCAAAGGAGACTTTTGTTACAAGATGGACCTATAGAGAACGGCAACATGATCTAGTGGGTAGGGCACCTGACTGGGTATCAGGAGAAGCGCTTCTGTTTCCAGCTCTGTCCCAGAGCTGCTGCATTGCCTTGGGCAAGTCACTTCCTGCCTCCAGTTCCCCTCCAGTCTTCTGTCTGCCTAGGTTGTAAGCTCTTCGGGCAGGGACTCTCTCTCTCTCTGTTTGTACAGTGCCTAGCACAATGGGGGACCAAGGCACTACTCCAGTAGTACTAATTAGATAATCTCATTGGGTCCTTTAATTTCTGCAGTGTCCATGTAGTAGCCACATGAAAGAATAACATTAAAAATCAAATGAACAACAGTAATTACAGGAAAGTGCAATGTCTGACAGCTTCACTACCCACGAAGGAGCAAGGAGTAATTATGGAAGCTTGCAATTTTTTAAAAGCTTTTCTCCCACCCCAGGAAAGGCTCAGCTATTCACTAGGGGTGACATTCATTCTTGTGCAAAGGGCAATGAACCAATTAAATCCCATTTAAGCCCACAGGGCTTGTGCTGACTGCCTGAGTAGGGATGAATTCTGTTCTAGAACAATACAGATTACACTTGGTTTCCACTTGCTCCTCTTGCAACTTCCGAGACTGCCTCTTTATTTGGTCTGAGGGTCACACGTATCATTAGGGATACGTGAAAACGCAAGGGGTCCAAATGCGCCCAGCCCTGCACAAATGCAGCAACCTGGTCAGGGGAAAGAGGGCAAATGGAGCCTTCTCTCTCCACCATGCAAGGGATGACCACAACGAGAGTCCATGTGTTCCCTGAACCCCGTAGCCTCTCCCAGCAGGGGTACAGCACAGCAGGGCCCACAATTCCCTTTCCCCAGCTCTGGCCAGTGGAGCAAATGCTGCACCCTTTGGAAGGTCTCTGCAGCACCTGTGCTCCCCTTGCACTGCCAGAGCTCAAGAGGCATCGTGCCCAAGTCAGCCACAGGGGCTTGGGCCAGAAGAACTACAGTTGAGTCCAAAGTCTGCATCCAAACAAAAGTACAATGCAACATGAATGAGAGTCATCAGGACATTTATTAGGATTTTTTCCATTCAAGTTAGAGCAGCCCCTTTGTTTGAAAACAGCAAACCGTACCGTTCACAGGCTCAGCCCAAGGTGCTGTCTACATCCAAGGCATCAACAGATAATGAATCCATGGCTAAACTATTGCAAATGTAGCCCACGTAACCAGTTATATGCTGTAGAATAAATCCCAGACATCTCTCTCCCCTAACAAGTGAATGGGTGAGGTGCCAGAGTTGTGTTTGCACTAGCAATTCATCTAAACAATTCTGGCCATGTCCTGCAGGTACTATGAAGGAATGGCTCGCTCGGTGGAGTTGGTAGATGGAACCTTTTTAGGTCTGGTCAAAGTCACTTATAGCAAGAAGTTGCTTCCATGCCATAGCAGTTTGGCAACTATATGAAAAGTGGACTCGGTCTAATAAAGGAACAGGTGGATGTTACAATCCCCATCGTCACAACTGGCAGCCTTATTGACAGCCTCAGCAGAGAGGCCAAGGACAGGATGGCCACTGAAACTGAACTCTCTCTCTGTTCCGAGCAGAGGAAGCTCCGGTACAAACTCGTGTGGAGAGGGGCCAGCACAGCCACTTCCAGTGTGACGGCCACACTCTGGGACGGAGGCCTTCATTCTCCAAAGCTGCCAATCCAGCATTTTTCAGCACTACATTGGCATGGGGGGAGGGAGGGTAGAAGAGAGACAATCTACCAAAATTAATCATTTCCCCAGTCGAAGCATTTTTACACATTTAAGAAAACTGCATAAAATAGTTTTAACTGCAAAAACAGTTCCACAGCGTAAACAAATGTTGTCCTGTACCAAGTCTAGGAAAGAGAGTGTTTGTGACTGATAGGAAAACGAGAGCTCCGTGTCCTGTGTCTGTCTTCTAGGAGCAGGACTGGGCTTGGTATTAGTCTTGAATTAAGTCAAGCACACTATTGGTGTTTAATAAATAAGAATTAAAAAAAATCTAGAAAACACAAACAAAATATAGGGGGATGAGTAATAGTGCAAGAGTAGAGGGTCAACTAAAATCAGTTTAAAAATCACAGCTTTGGTTAAACTGGTGCAAATGTGGCCTAAGATTGACCAAAAGAAATCAAGTGCCCCAATTTTCCTTTCACTTCCACTGGCGTAAAGTCAAGTCTGTGAAGTTACACCAGTGTAAAATTGGTGAGAGTGGGAGGAAAATCAGGCTGAAAGTTTCCAACAAAATCATTAACAATTTGAGTCTCGATGCAAACTGCTCTCTGCTTACTGTAAACAAGGCCAATTTTACGCATGTACTTCCTCAAAATAAGCTAGTGAAAGGAGAAGCAGCAGCCGAACAGTAACTTCAGTGCCACATACACGGGCAAGGAACCTGATCCTTACTAGAAATACAGCGATTCCTACAAATAAGGTGTGCAGCAAGTCTCTGCTAGTTTCTCTCATCACCCTCCCATGTCTGATTTACAGATTTGGGCCATGAAAGGACTAGTGTGTGTGAAAATAAGGAACACTGACATTAACTGGAAAAGTGCAGCTTATCTTTGAAAGTGTATTTTTCCCTTGCTATGTATGCATTTTACTATTCAGTCAGAAAGCATCTTTATGTCTCGTGTGGGTTACCATTTTTGTTCCTTTCAAGCATAACAAAATTTAAACGGGGGGGGGGGGGGAGGATTCTTGTCACCAGATGAAAAAAAAATATCAAACCTTTTATTAAACCTTTTAAAACATTTCTAACTCATTTTACAGTTTACAACAGGAAAAGATTAAAAAAAAACTATAGCACAGAAGAGACGTCACTGAGGTTAAGCAGATCCAAACTCCGCCATCCATTTTTCATACTTCTCCAAGTCTGCAGCTGAAACAGACTTGGAGATTTTCTTCAGAGCCAGCTCAAAGTCCCCCTTGGTAACAGGCATCTGAAGTTCCTCTTTAGAAAGTGCACGGATCTCTTCTGGGGTTAAGCCGTTAATGCGCCGTCTCATTGCCATCAAAGAGGCATCCCTGGAAACAAAGGAAAATACATGGGAACTAAGTGTCAGTAGTGTGTGCTGCGAGCCATATGAATTTTGATTATATTCTCAGGCTTCACTGGAAGGAACACTTAAGAAAGCATTAACTTTTAAGATGTAGAACACATCTTTCTTCGCCTCTATGTTCCAAGATCACTACATTCATTTGATGTAAAGAATGCATTGGTACCCAAATCCATTTAAGCATATGGTAAATGTGCAGAGATAATTAAAACTATAAAAACTGAAAACCTTTTACAATGATTCATGGAGATGAATCTTGTGACTTCAATGCAGTCACTAAACTCATGAAAAAAACTGTGCTCAACTGCTCCCTCCTTTTTGAAACACTCAGGAGCTTCTATTCCCCTCTGTTGCAGCACTAACTCCCACTCCATGGCTTCAACCTCCTTAGCAGTGTGCAGTCCCGGGGGGGGGGGAGGGGGGGGGAGCCAATGGCAGCTTGACTTGCAATTCAGCCCTGCTGCCAGTTTTGGCAGGGTGACTTGATTCGGAAAGTGCAGGGCGGCAGCCAAAAAGCACGTGACATATTAATCCACAGGGCTGAGGACACCGATGCCTGCAGATCTTTATGTTCTATTCGTCTGGTAGACTCTTCCCCTGGCCCTTTCTAACCCCTGCTCACCAGAAAAGAGCATTTCGCTCATTTCTCACAGCATGGCCCATGTGGAATTTTCAGTTCTGGATTCTCTTTTTGCAGTTTTCCCAGCAAGGGAGAATATAAGCCCGAGGGAGAACATTTAATCTAACTATTGTACAGTTCAACACAAAGATTTCAAAACTCTTGAGTCATTTCAGCACAGGTTAATGGCCACTTAATCAGTAGAAATATGGGTCACCAAATTATTGAGACATGTTCGTAGAGTGTAAGTTCCCCTGGGCAGGGACCAGGTGTTGGTACTTGATGTACAGCCCCTAGCTCTCGCACGGGCTGGACGTTTTCCAGCAGAACGTTTTTCTATTAGAAAATGCAAATTCTTCTAAATTGAAATGTTTTGCAGTAACAAGGATTTTGATGAAATTCTGATGGAAACCAGGCAGCCTGCTGCAAAGCCTGGGGGACCCCGGAGGCCCTGGAACCCTCAGATCCTAAGCTCCCAGGCTTATGGTTCCTTGGCAGCCAAGCTCTCAGGGTCCCCAAGTTGCCCATCTCCCTGCCTGGCAGGTTGACAGTGTTCCAGTGAGCACAGAAAGCCACTGAAATGTTTGAAAAAGATCAAAACAAAAGGTCATTTTGACTTTTTCAAAACAAAATTTTGGAATTCCCGTTCTGCAGGAAATGTCATTGATCTTTTTGGTTCAAAGCAATGTATTTTTTAAGTTTTGGAATATCCTGCAGAATAGGGATTCCAGTTTCCAGCCAGCTCTATCTAGCACAGAGTGCGTCTGAGTCCTGATTGGGTCTCTGGACATGACTGCAAAAGAAAATATTATATAGGAATAAGTAAAATATCTTGTTTCTCTCTGCAGCAGGAAATTCCAGCTCCTAAACCCACAGGGTTAAAAAACCCTAAACCACCCGGCTTTATACTAGATTAGAAGATTAAAACATGAGTCGATGAAAGCAGACAATGGCAACAAAACATTTGCTCAGGCTGTCTGTTCTCCCACGACCATAGTAGACACCATCGCATCTTGTACACAGACTCCATGCTTTCTAAGAACCATAGTAGTGTACTGAATAGTGCTAGCAAATGTATTCAAACCTTAAACATGGTAGAGGCCTGGTGCTGCTCTCTTTTACTGAGTAACATAATTATTGATTTTATAGATTTGTTTGCAAATAAAGTTAACAAAATACCTGCAAACATTAGTTATATCAGCCCCAGAGTAGCCTTCAATCTTCTCAGCAATTTCCTCAAGGTGTATATCAGGATCCATCTCTACTTCCCGAAGATTAATCTTAAGCAGCTCTGCTCTGCCTTTTGCTAGGATACAAGAATCACTTGTTTAAATTTTAACAATACTTTTGTTCAAGTCACCATGACACACAAATACTCAAAAAGACAAACACAATCTAGGCTTTAAATGGAAACTACAGATGAAAAGCTTCCTTATGATGGGTTATACAAACCCAGCACCAATAAGGAAGGGAATAAGCAGCTGCTCCGGACCCAGGCAGCATGCATGGCTTGGAGGAGGAGCACAAAAGGAACGGGTCAGCTCAGCAAGGCAGCATACAGTGGAGGTGACTGACATACATTCGGAGTTCCTGGAAAGGTGCACTGCAGGAGCCCTGCTGCCTGATGCCCTCCTTTGGCAAAGTTGCCACACCAGAAGGGAAGAGCCTAGAGATTCTCTGAAGGTTTGAGACTTTATCTTTGATTCCAGTTATTAAAAGTCTTTACAGTAGAACCTCAGAGTTATGAGCACCTCGGGAATGGAGGTTTTCGTAACTCGGAAACGTTTGTAACTCTGAGGTTCTACTGTACTTCATGTGTTGTGAAAAGAGGGGACAGGGAGCAAGTGACCCAGAGAAGCAGCAGTGTAGCACTCTGGGGTGCAGGATGTAGCTGCTTACTACTGAGCCCTGGAGCGGAAGCTGGTGGAGAGCTTGCTCTACCACCCCTTAGGCTAGGAGTATCAAAGCCAGAAGTCTAACCATGATGGACAATCTAGATGAGAGAAGGCACTAAAGACAGAAGAGTCAAGACCCTGACTCGGGAGCCCTTTGCTTTACCTAGAGGGCTATCCCATTGCTGGACTCTTATACTCCAGAAGGGGTGGACAGCAACGTGACACCCAGCAGGAGGGCTGCGTCACAGAAGGCACACACTACCACAGGACTAGAGCAGCTCTCAACAGGGGGTGCCAGGAAAGAAAAGAAACTGGCATGACCTGCCTGAACACTGGGCAGCACCTGTGGTGAGTGATCTCCTTGATACTCACATATTCGAAAAACAAAACCGATCACATTTTTGGCAGAGCATGTAGTTAAAAAATATCCTGTACAGACACTTCATAAAACAGTTCAGGAAGTGCAATCATACCAAATGCTTACACTTCTCAGGTGACAAAGCACTTAGCGATTTGCCTCATTCTGCACAATGTGCCTGAGACAAACAGATACTGTCTCTGGTATAATCACATACCTTGTTATGCATCATTTTCTCACTGTACACAGCTGACCAGCAGGGAATATTATTCTTACAAGACACAAAGGCGCGATCCTACAAACCTCTGGTGCTCCTCCTGACCCCTGGGATACACCCTTCTGTTCAGAAGTTGGACTGCACATTATTTACATAGTTTTATTAGAAACACCATGGTCTTGATGACACAAATATTTCCATTTAAATAGCGGTAGAGAGCATTCAGCAAAGCACTTAGCATATGCTCAACTTTAAGCACATGCTTAAGTGCTTTGCTGAATTGAGGCCCAACAGAGTTGCTGAAACCTCATGGAAAACAGAGAAATTATATTTAGAAACAATTGCATTGGCCAATTTTCAAACACAGGTGCTGGGTGCACACCATGGTAATTGACTAAATAAGTACCCATTTACACAGCCAATTTAACCTTTCTGCACACAAAGCATGTGCGTATGCAAGTCCTACGCTTGTGATTTGGGAACCCACATTTGAAAATTTGTCCCTTTATGTTATTTTGAGGGGCAAGGGTGAAGAGAAAGAGGGTTTCTTTTCAGTTTTTTATTGCAAGGGAAAATGTACATTACATCAGCATCTTCATTTCTACAGCAACCAGCTTTGATGTCTTAAAAACAGAGGATGACCACTTTGAGAGGGAAGCAGCAAGATGAGCAGATAAAATCTTAAGAGCACAACTCCTGTTTTATAAGCGTCCCTGGTGACTAACAGAGAACAGTGAAAAAGAAAATATAGAAAGTATTTATACTACTGTGGTACCTAAGTGCCTTACAAAATTACCTATAATCCAGAAAGGGGGTCTGTACAGAGAGAGGGCATTTTCTTTAGAAGGGTTATTTATTATTTACAGAACACCATAGATGCACATGTGGCACACATGCAGAATTGTTTCTCTAAAACACAATATTTTCCTAAGTTTTTCCCAGGGCCTTATGTCATTTTAGAAATATCACATTATAAAATTCACACTACACCAGATCCTGCAATTTATTTATTTTGTTTAAACTTTTTCCAACTGAAATCCCTGGTGATCTCAAATTACAAAGCATGAATGTAAATACATCATCTGGAGATGCACAGAACAATTTAACTTCCTCATATGCGGAAAAAGATGATAGAATGTAAACTCACAGCTACAGTGGCAAATCTACTTCATGTAAGAAGTGCAGGGTGTATTACACTACGTCTAAAGCAAGTCTTGTTCAATTAGAAACCAGAGCAAACTGATAGAATTTTAGACTAATCGGTCAAAAAGACAGTCATCCTGTTATGAGCTATTACTGTCTGTGAGCTGCAAAAAACAAGCTGTATACCTATTAAAATATTCTTATACCTGTTAAACTCAATCACAACGGCTGTCACCATGAACACACATCTTGTTATCTTGTGTGCTCATGCAGTGACACAAGGCATCCACTGTCCCAAGAAGAAACAAAGCTATACAACCTTCAAGTGATTCGAATCTTGAAATTAATAGGGTATACGAGTGACAGCCAGGAATGAATGACAATACAAGCCAAGGCATCTCGGGCAAGAAAGCAATCAGTCTGCTACATTTTGAGTGACTTGAAGTCTAGGCATAAAGGCCAGCAAGCAGTGATTTACAATGTGCTAAGCTTGAAAGTGATAATTCATGGATCCACTTCTCTGCATTCATCTGCAAGGGCATGGGAATGCATTTGCAATATTTCTTAAAAAGTCCAAAGGCTTCCTTTGATGATCACTCAAGGATTGACTGCAACATTTAAAATCATTCCAGGCTCATTAAAACTAACTTGGTTTCAAAACGTAAGAACCCATCAATGGGTCTGTAATGAAATACCATAGCTCATTGTTTCTGAGCTCCAAGCAATTTTTTTAAAGAAAACAGCCAGCCATGTTATTAACCCCACAAATGCAATATTTAGAACAGAAATATCAACGGTCTTCACAATCCTAAGAGATACAGTGAAGAACGGTTTCCTAGAAAAAACATTTAAAGGAAAATGCTTGTAGCAATAGTACCTGTTGGCAGAGGTATATAAATCCGTTTCTCTAATCTTCTTCGCAATGCTTCATCAATGTCCCAGGGAAAGTTTGTAGCAGCCAGCACCATCACCATTTTGGAAGGGTCATCGTTTTCTAGTGCACCACCTACTCCTGCAAGTCCAACAGTGTAGGAAAGAGTCATTTTAATGTTCGTAGCAAATACCAGGCTTGCTAAAGGTGCTGGACTGACAAACCTTGGAGAAGGAGGCACTGCATTTATCAGTACATGGGCACAACATGGGTGCAAGCTTCTCTACACCACTCTCCCAACATACCCCAGCTCTGCTTTGGAGGCAGCACCTACTTCTAGGAAGGAGAGAACAGTTTATTCTGCCTGACAGTTCAGTTCTTGGCCGCTGCCAGACTGCCAACAACGTAGTTTTGTGATGCGTGGACACTTGCCCACTATGAACTGAACTGAAATTACCAACTTATTCTGTATTGGCCACTAAAGAGATGGTAAAAAACTTTCCGTCAAGCAGTTAGATTAAAAAAGAAACTGATTCCCTCTGGGCAAAAAAGCTGTTGTCCCTTCATTTTCTGTAGTGTGCCCAGTGGTGGACAGCACCGCCGGGCGAGCGTGACAGGGAAAGCCTCCACACGCCAACCTGGCTCCCTGGCAAAAGCCGGGGATGGCAGGGGAAGCCCCCTCACCCCAACCCTACTCTCCCGCAGAACGGGGGAAGCCCATGCATCCCCTCACCCCGTTCCCCCACAGAACGGGAGAAGCCCCTGCGCCCCCCGACCCTGCTTCCTGACAAAAGCTGGAGGGCAGCAGGGGAAGGCCCCAGCGCCCTCTGACTCCGTCCCAGGCAGAAGCTGAGGGTAGCAGCAAGGGAAGCCCCCGCGCTCTCTAGCAGAAGTGCCAAGCGGGCAGGAGAAGCCACAGTGCCCGTACCCTGGGTCCCCGCAGAAGCCACGGGGCGGCAGGGGAAGCCCCAGCACCCGGACCTCTGCTGTGGCCCTGGGACTGAAGGATATCTCGCTACCTGCCACGGCCTCAGGGCTGGGGGAGGTCTCACTCCCCGTTGCAGCCTGGGGCTGTGGCGGAGAGGGACAGAGCTTCTCCGGTCTTAGGGCCACAGTGGGGTGGGGAGTAGAAAGTAGCAAATGGGTTGCAGGGCCGCAGTGGAGGTGCAGGATGGGGGGGGGGGGAAACAAAGGTGGGGCCTGGGAAAAGGGGCACAAAGAGATGAGGCCATGGGTGGAGTTGCAGGCAGAAGGGGTGGAACTGGGGCAGGACTGCAGGTGGAAGAGGTGGGGTGGGCCCCCCCACTTGCTCTGGGCCAAGGCCCCAGGAAACCTTAATCTGCCTCTGGGTGTGCCTACACACTTGGGGGTGCTGCCCTACAATGAGCAACAACAGAGTGGGGGGTAGTCAAACCCCTGTACCATAAATATTCCTTTGAAGCTGGTGTTAAATGGTCCATATACAAAGAATAGTGATCCAATGGTAAATCTTATTAATAAAAGGACACTAGTTGTCAATGTAAGGTCTGGTCTAGTCAAATCAAACAAAGAGGTCCTGAGTGGAAGAGTCAAGGAAGGCGTTTGTTCACAACTTTGTATTGCAGAAACCCCTTGTGCACTGCGCCACACACAAACGTCTGTGTTAAACTGCATGAATGTTCAAAATATGCTTCTCCTAGAGCAGGCTACATTTTTCAAATGAAAGTTTATTGAATATGGCTTTATATAAAACAAAACTTTTGCAGCAACGTTATGCTTATAAAAAATATACTTTAAAAAAATTAAATATTCTGGACTCTCATTCACCAAAATATGGGCCCATTTTGAACACTTCAGAATTAAAGAGAGATCTTTTCTCTCCCTTTCCCCCCCCCCCCCAATAAAAAGAGGTGGTTGTTTTCTGCCAGCTCTACTCATTTCTGAACAATGAAGTGTCTACAAAGCATGTCACATAACCAGAAGAGAAACAGCAGCTCAACTCGGAGGTATCTAAACACCAATTACCATCCATCTGAACCAGCAGCTCCGACTTGACCCTGCGACTTGCTTCATGTTCGTCGGAAGTGCCTCTGCGGCTGCAGATGGAATCGATTTCATCAATGAAGATTGTTGTTGGCGCATAAAACCTGGCCTTTATTGAAGTGAAAATACAATTACTTAGATTGCAGTCGCAAGCACCAGCCCCAGTCAGGCTTCAGGCCCTATTGTGCTCAGTGCTGAACAAATGGAATATATGTCCCAGCCACAGAAAAATTCATCTGAGATCCTGACCCTGCAAAGACTTCCCCATGTGCCTAACTTTACATCCCCCCAGCCCCGCCCCCCCCTTCCCCACACACACAGTCATAACACTGAGGTCAATGGTAACTTTCACAGTGCAGAAAGTTAAGCATGTGCAGAAGTTTGTGTGTGTTACTTGTTTTCTTGTATGCAGTGTAGTTGTAGCTGTGTCAGTCTGAGGATATTAGAGAGACAAGGATTATCTTTTACTGGACCAACTTCCATTGGTGAGAGAGGCAAGCTTTCGAGCCACACAGAGCTCTATGGGTCCAGGAAAGATACTCCAAATGGCACAGCTAAATACAAGGTGGAACAGATTCTTTAGCATGTATTCTAAGGGACCATTCAAGGTAGAGTGGCCCATTAACATCTCTGCAGTCATAGGACAAAAAAGGGAGGGGGGGTTAGTTGGTTACGGATTGTTGTAATAAACCATAAATCCAGTGTCTCTGTTCAGTCCATGATTTTTAGTGTCTAGCAGAGTAATGAATTTAAGCTCTGTGAAAGAATGTACCTGTGTCCACACCCTACACACTGTTGTAATAATCTTTGTACAAAGTATGCCTTGTAAGGTGTCATTTGAAGACTCAATTTGCTCATCAATATTGTCTTGATAAAATGTGTAGCAGTACTGTATGCGCAGTTATAAGATTTCCATGGACGGTGCGTGAACTGCTGGCTGGGGGAGGCTAACCCCCAGCCCCGCCCCTTCCATCCCCCACCGGAGCCAAGCCCTCCCTTCCCCCACCCCCTGTGGCTAGTCCCCCTGCCCCAAAGGAGCGCCGGGAGGGTGGGCGGCCCCAGCGCCAGCCACAGCCTCCTCAGTTCAGGAGCACGGGAAGGCGGGCGGTGCATGGCCCCAGCCACACCATTGGTGCACTGGGGGGACTGGAGCCAGAGAATTGAACCCACACGCAGGGAGTGGTCACAGCAGGGGGCGGGGTCATGCCTGAATGTCTGGGGAGTCTGAGCCGCCCCCAGCTAATGCGACCCGCTGCCCATGAAGATTTCCCTGAAAGATGTTATTAACACATGTTCCAAACTGAGGTGGCAAACACATCTGTGCTCTGCTTAATCTGCATTTAAGAAGTAAACAAAGTCATCAAGCAGGAAGGAAAACAAAAGAAGCTCCAACAGGTGAGGAAGAGCAGCAGGGAAGATCCCTTTCTGTAGATGCTCTGTCTCCCGAATCTCAGCTGCAAATGTTTTCCAAAGGGGTGGCTGACACTATAGAAAAGGGGGACAAACACCCCAACCCACCCCCTCTCCTCCCTCTCTTTCTGCCCATCAATTCACTGCATGGGAAGAGACTGTCTAGGAAGGAGTACGGCAGAAAGGAATCTAGAGGTTATAGTGGACCACAAGCTAAATATGAATCAACAGTGTGATGCTGTTGCAAGAAAAGCAAACATGATTCTGGGATGTATTAACAGGTGTGTTGTGAGCAAGACACGAGAAGTCATTCTTCCGCTCTACTCTGCTCTGGTTAGGCCTCAGCTGGAGTATTGTGTCCAGTTCTGGGCACTGCATTTCAAGAAAGATGTGGAGAAATAGGAGAGGGTCCAGAGAAGAGCAACAAGAATGATTAAAGGTCTTGAGAACATGACCTATGAAGGAAGGCTGAAAGAACTGGGTTTGTTTAGTTTGGAAAAGAGAAGACTGAGAGGGGACATGATAGCAGTTTTCAGGTATCTAAAAGGGTGTCATAAGGAGGAGGGAGAAAACTTGTTCACCTTAGCCTCTAAGGATAGAACAAGAAGCAATGGGCTTAAACTGCAGCAAGGGAGGTCTAGGTTGGACATTAGGAAAAAGTTCCTAACTGTCAGGGTGGTTAAACACTGGAATAAACTGCCTAGGGAGGTTGTGGAATCTCCATGTCTGGAGATATTTAAGAGTAGGTTAGATAAATGTCTATCAGGGATGGTCTAGACAGTATTTGGTCCTGCCATGTGGGCAGGGGACTGGACTCGATGACCTCTCGAGGTCCCTGCCAGTCCTAGAATCTATGAATCTATGAAAAGAAAGAAGGGGTTCTGGCCTAAGAAGTTTGGCCAATAAGCCTGTTGAGAACACGTGGAGAGAAAAACTTCGCTTTGCATTTAACATAGTTAAGGCGCTAGTTGTGTTTTATCTTTATTTTTCTTGTAACTACTTCTGACTTTTATGCCTCATTACTTGTATTCACTTAAAATCTCTTTGTAGTTAATAAACTTGTTTTATTGTTTTATCTAATCCAGTGTGTTTAAATCGAGGTGCCTGAAGAACTATTTGAAATACTAAGCTGGTATATTATCTTAAATAAAAAAAAGAGACTTAACATACTTGTATTATCCAGGAGAGGGCTGGGCAGTACAGGACACATATTTCTGGGGGTGGAACTCTAAGACAGGGAGTGAGCTGAGGTCACCCTGCAGCACACACACAGACATAGCTGGCAGTGACTTGCATGCTGGAGGCTGTTTGTGAGCAGTCCAGACTAGAGGCTACAGCAACAAATCAGTATAAAGTTTATAGGGCGAGGATGACACAGATACTCATTAGTCTAGATTGTACCCTGGGTATGTCACAAGCTCCCAGGCACATCTTTTGAAAGTGTTGTGCAGGTTTCCTTTAAGGATGCGGACTGATAGGGATTGTTCTATATCTGACCTTTGTTTTCTTAGGTCTTGATCCTGCAAAGGAGGTGAGGGAACAATCAAAATATACTATTTGTAATATACATATTGTGCTTCTTGTGAAGTCAAAGGTTGGGAGGGGAGTTTCCAGCCTATCTAAAAGTCGCAGGGTGTTTTAATGGGCACCATCTTGGAAGTGCAGAAGCAAATAAGGATGAGGAGAGGGTAAATGGCATATTTGCACACACACATAACACAGTTCCTGGGGTGAGACTGTGTGTAAGTATTTCTCAGCTGCAGTTTAGGATCTGGCCCTTGATTTTCAGAAACCAACCTTCAGCTTGGAACAGAGAAAATAGATGAAACACATTTTGCTTCTAGAGACAAGGGTAATTTACTCCACAATCCTCAAATATACATCAAGAAGGGTCTGCTATATAAGCGTGCACACCCATCCACTGGAGAGGTTCTAGGGATAATGAACTCAATCCTGCAACAATGTGCAGTGAGGGGCTTGATAAACCAACAAAGGTCCCTAGCATCGAGGACTTACCATTTCAAACAACAGGCGGACTAGCTTCTCAGACTCGCCCCTGTATTTGGACGTCAGAGTGGAGGAGGAAACATTGAAGAATGTTGTCCCACATTCCGTAGCAACGGCTTTTGCTAGCATGGTTTTGCCAGTCCCAGGGGGGCCAACCATCAGAACACCCTAAAATTCCATACAGAGTAATAAATAAATGACAAGAGGAGACCCCCAAATTCAGCCCTGATGTAAGCAAAATGCTAGTCCACAGCAATCAGCTGAGTTGCACTAGGTCTAAATGTGACCCAAGGTCTGCATTTTAATTGCTTAAAAACCTAACTCTGCCATATGCCTGGGCCTGCTTTTTGTTTCCAAGCACTTGTTTCACTGAAACCATTAATTGTATACGTGGGATTCTCATGTTATTTATTCTTACTAAGGTACTTACATGGCCCCCATTACCACAGTATCTGAGTGTCTCAAAAATCTACTGTATTTATCCTCACAGCACCCCCTAACAGGTAGAGAAGGACTATTATCCCCACTATACAGAGAGGAAACTGAAACACAGAGAGGCTAAGTGACTTGTCCAAGGTGACACCGGAAGCCCATGGCACAGCAGGGAAATGAACCCAGTTCTCCCAAGTCCCAGGCTAGTGGCCTGACCATCCTTCCATCTCCCATCCAGGTAAAAGAGACAGCAAAGTGGGAGAGCACTAGTCTCCTCTACATCAGTGCCTGTTTGGTTCACCGAAGTGTAAAAGACATTATGGATGGAGAGACAAAGTTCTCAGGGCCCAAATTAGGCGTCCACGCTGGGGCTTGCTAATCGTCTCGACTGTGAAAAAAGGCATTAGTTTTTAAATGGGCTCTCAAGGCAAGAGTTCCCGAAAACGAGTGGTGGTAACAACCATTTCCCCTTCTGTAGTAAGGTTAGAACTGCCCTAAGATGGAGAGTAATACTTGATAATTAAATAATTACTTTAAATAAATTCATCAAGATATTTTGAAAATCTGCTTTCCAAACTGTGGGCCTCCCTCAGCCATCGTGGTAATGAACGACGCAATGTTTTCCCCACCCAGCAAGGGACAAGGAGAAATATAGAAACGCCAAATGCTCTGCTGTCGCGAATATGGCAGCTTTCTGAAATGCAAGATCAGATTTCATACTAAACAAGAGCTTACTGAGGTAAAGTCAGACTGTGTTTCAAGGATAATCAAATTAGCTGGAATTAGATTTGCACATCATAATGTGCTTTGCAATTAATATCTTACATAAAATACCACAACAATAAAATATCTGTTAAACGCGATCCATGCTGCAAATTAAATTTTGTCTGTTCTACACAAAATTTACCGCAAGGAGCACAAAGAATGACATGGAAGAGATCTATAAAAACAAATCAACCGGGAATACAATTATTCAAAAATGTTTTCCCTGTACTCATCAAGAGCAATAGCGTCTCTGTGCCTACGTTTTCCATTAACCATTAATACCTTTATTGCCATTTAACACTTAGCTATTGCAAGCTCCCACAGACATTAATCGGTAAATTAAATTACAAATGATCATATTCCGTCCAGAGAGCTGACAACCCACCTCCCTTTATAAGGATGCCCAAGTTATCCTAAACTTCAAGGCAGCAACTATAAAAGATAAATGGACTCCTGTTACACAAGTTCATCCAGGCATTGTCTACACTGGAATGTTAGTCCCTGCTAGAATTGCCCCTTACAGCAATACTAGTGGAGGACCATGGTGTACACAGGGGAACTGGATAAAATTCTGTGGCCTGTACAGTACATCCTTGCTATAACGCCCTTCACAATAACAAACCTGGTCCCTGGATCCCACCTCAAGCCTCGCCGCAGCCCCTGGGCTGGAAGAGCTCTCTTTTACTATAACAAACCCCTGGCTCTAACAAACAAATGGCTTGGATCCTTAGGGGTTTGTTATAGTGGGGGTGTACCGAACATACAAGAGGTCAGACTAGATCTAACGATTGCTTCTGAAGTTAAAATCTATGAACCTCATGGTTTACACCGGTGCAACTTGATTTGCATATGCACCGAACTTGGATTGAAAGCAGAGGTAACTGCCCCAGTTCAAATCACGTTAGGGGTTTGCACCAGTCTGGCTACACTGGAGGCTAAAAACCCACTCTAGACAAGGCTTCAGTCTTAAAATGAATAGCCATACAGGGGGCCAAGTTCTGCCTTGAATTATACCCCATCCAATGCCAATGGATTCAAGGGGCCTAACTGCTCACTGTCTTACACCTTGGGTCGTCATTTATCCCTATGTAAACGAGGTGTAACATTACCAAGTGGGAATGGTAGCATTTTATGTTCACTTTGCACAAGTGTGAATGACCTCATAGGGTGCAAAGCAGTGGGAGAATGATGCCAACTGGGGATGCACAAGATGTAAGGATCGGTGCACAATGTGAGCCTGAATTTCTAGCTAAGCTAGACAGATGCACAAGGAGGAAGGAGGAGGGTGAAGCAAGAGCTGCTTTCTCTCTATACAACCTGAGAGTCTGGCAGTTACTGACTAGTTAAAATCTTTTATGAGCACAAAGCCTTCTTTACTCTTCCTCTGGGGCTCTGTTGATCCAGTGTTTCCCAATAAGAAGCTAATACGCACTGCAGGGAGTAAGTGGTTTGATGAAATCACTGCAGGGTTATTTCTTGTAGTTATAACTACCACTAGTGGAGCAGTGGGATGCCCAACTAAAGACAGGATCCTCTTGGCACAAACACAGGTCAGAGAAAGGAAACAACCACTCTTGGATGTTCAGAAAGTGATGGCTTCAAATGCATGACACCTATGTTTAGTCAGGAAGAGTGCTGGCCTATGAGCACCAATGGGTTTAGGAGAGAAGAGGGGCTGTGCACTCCCCACACAGGCCTCTAGTATGTGGAGGACCTCAGGCACACTAGCCTGCTTAGAGAGGGTTAACAGCCACATTCTGTCTGCTTCTCCCACAGGGCAAAGTGAAGAAGAAAAGCTCCAGCCATGAAAGGGAAGCCACAATTCCACCCTAACTACTAACTGGTTAGGTATTTAGAACAAGTACGTGCTTAAGTACATTGCTGAATCTGGGCCTTAAGTCCTGGGACTGCTCATGTATTTAACATTAACCACATGCTTAAGAGCTTTGCTGAATCAGGGCCATAAAGAGGATATTCAATAGGAAATATCTTCCTGGACTTCATCATCATAACTAACTCAGTGACAAGCCCACAATTGTATCATAAGACATTCCCTGAATAAGGGACAATCAATCCCATACCAAAAGCTAGGTCATTTCATTTTCTGTTTACACAGCAGCTCATATACTTCCTCAACAATTTTTTTTTCAAGTTGTGAATCAGATCCAAATTGGGCTCCCACTTACTGTGGCCCAGCTACTCTGGATCAATCCCACATTTATTATAATTAAGGAATTATCCATCTTTGCTAAATAAATGTGTATTTTAGGCTATTACTGCAGTATAATAGCTATAAATACTACGGTATACTATCAGTACAAGGGAGCATGAGTATATGATGCTACGCTCATGTAGATACAACTTGGCATACATGAAAGTGCCATGACCAGTTCCCAGAATGTGGTCGTACATTCTCACCTTCCACGGCCTTCTGATCCCTTTGAAAAAATCAGGCATCCACATCGGCAGAACCACCGCTTCCCTTAATAATTTCTTGGCTTCTTCCAAATCTGCTATGTCATCCCTGCGAAAGACCAGCACAGATTTACAAAGCATAACATTTCACTTTGTTTTTAAGCCATGAAAAACAGAGAAAAAGTATTGTATTTACCACTATCCTTTTTATTATGCCAGTATGTTCCTATTGAGAACATTGCTATAAATCTCTGGCCTTACATTGTCCTCTCCTGTGGAAGGCAGCAAAAAAATTACTTTCAGCTAAGGTTACTATGGCACTCAATTAAAAATTGTTTTGGCTCATGTGATCAGGGATCCTACTTTTCCATGTTAAAAAAAATCCAAAACTCTCTAATAAAGAATCAAATATCCATGTTTTTCCATGATTAAAATGAAACACTGAACTAGCCTCAGTACATATGGGTATCAGTTGAACACAATGTTTTATTGATATACAGTAGAATCCCATTTAGCCAAGCCTCCATTATCTGGCTCTTCATATTAACCAAACCACCAGCAGCCTGGGATCAAAATAAGGGTAGAAAGCTCTTGCAATTCTCTTGATTATCCGATCTGGCCCTGTGGTCCCAATTAGATCAGATAAACAGAGTTCCACTGTAAATTTAAAGCGCATCCAAAAATCAATCACAAGAGGAGGAGGTTACACACATTGAATACGTGACACTGGTACTTTCAGTAAAATTTAGTTAATAGTTAATATATGTTTTTATTTTTTCACAAAATGTAAAAACTAAAGATTCTCTGTAAAAATGCAAAATTCATGTTTTTCCTCGTTTTTCCCCATTGCAAATGGATTTCTAGGATCCCTAGTGATCATCAAAACAATACTTTTAACGTTCTCTGGAATGCGGTTAGGCTTTTGAGTAGGTACTCGTAATGGACATTTTGCATATCATACTGGTTAAGAATGAAAGTCTTACTCTGCAATCAAATTAGTATGCGATTAGAACCAGAAGCCCTCATTTCCCCTATTTGGAAAGTCATGGCTGTTTGCCACTTTAAAAGAGTTAAGATCCCAATTTAATTAGCGGACATGCTCTTTCCCCTCCAACCTAGCTAAAGAATTTAACTGAGAAAATTCTCATACCAATGAATGCTTGGATTTCTTGATACAATGTCCCTTTCCAGTGCTTCAACCAGGTCTTTATCATATCCTGCTCCATCAAATTTCTGAATTTCCCCATCACCAGCACCTTCCTGTGGAATTTTCTTTCCCTAGGAACATTAAGAAATTACAGGAGTCTATCATGAAACTTTTACTTTTAACAGCTCCAAGATTTGAATCACAGAGTAAAATTGTTCAATTGCTACTATGTTTAAGCCAAGAGAAATTTCAGATTTTTACACAGAACTGTGGGCTGTCTCATTCCTCCGACAGCCAAGGAAGCACAATATTTTCACATCTTATCTCCACAGTCTCAAGATACTTGTTACTATCGCCAGTCCAACAGAATGTGCTATAGAGTCACACGTCTTTCATAAAGGGGAGTTACCTTGATCCCCAAATCCAAAAATTAGTTTAAAATGTTGTTTTTTTTAATTTACAAACTAGACTCTAGTAGCAATAAGTCACTTTAGATTACCAGCACACTTCTTGTGATGTTCAACACACGAGGCAGATGCAGCACAAGCCTATCTGTGCATACCCTGTCGTGACGTAATGCTATATTACCCGTGACATAATGCTATATTAGATCCTGGCTTAGGACAAGTTTGTCCAAAGGTGTATTTTGATTGGCTAGCTGGGCCAAATGATGCTACATCTACTAGGCCAGCCGGTACTAATATACATCTAGACCCTGCCACCAAAAAAAAATTTTTAATCCCTATACCTGTTCTATTTAATGGGAGAAATAAGATTTTTTCTGCCTAGTTTTTAACGGATAAATATTTTATTTATTTATTTCAATATAGTCAGGACTTAAAGAAAAGGTCTTCCCTGCTTGGCTGCTTCTCTTCCCCCAAACTCCAGCAATTGTCTATTTCCTATTCCCTTTTTCTGTCTCACAACCCAATCCCACACACTGTCGGGATACTTTAAAGTTCATTTAAAAGGCTGCATTAGGAGTCCTAAAGTAGGGTTGTCAGGTGTCTAGGGTTGCCAACCCTCCAGGATTGGGCTGTAGTCTCCCAAAATTGTTATCTAGCTCCCAGTGACTATTGAAAGCAATCCGGGAGATTTTAATAGGATATTTTAAGAAAATGATATTACATCATGTTGGGGAAAAAATCTCCTGGAATAGCTTTGGTCAGAGTTGGCAACCCTGGAAAGTCCAGTTACTGCGGGGGGAGCGGAGGGCAGGAGTGGCAGCCTGTCGCCCCTTTCATGAGCATGGTTTGCAGGGCTGCGGCGGCGGACAGAGTGTGCAAACGGGGTAAGGGGTCCCAGTGGACATAGAATGTTCCGCAGGAGGGACGGAAAGCAAGCTGCTCCACCCGCCAGCACTTCCCCTGGGCACGCTAAGGTAGCTCCGGGGTGGCAAGGGCTCAAGTGAGCCGGGGAGGGGGCTGCTGGGGAAGCTGCGCAGAAGGAGGCGGGAGGCTGCTGTGCCGGACTGCTGCGTCCTAGCTCGCCAGCGGGGCTGCTCCCACACGGCCGCAGCGCTCTGCTACCTGAATTCCCAGATGGCCTGCTGGAGCTGGGGTTTGCAAGTCTCTTGGGCAACTCGCACTGGAGTTGAGGGGGAAAGCAACAAGGGTAGAAGAGCCTGGGGGAAGAGGCGGAACAGGGGCATCTAGTTTTCAGAAACTAGAAAGTTGGCAACCCTACATTTCAGCCTAATTATTGTTTTTATTAAAGGTGCATCCGATGTGTTCAGAACTGTCCCACAAGTGGATAAAACAACCTCAGCCCCAAACTGATCATAAACTCCAAAGTTAGTAATTCCACAGCTCTGCTGATCTTATGGGAAAAGCAACATCTTTCCTCTGAAGCAACACTTCTAATTCTCCTCTAACACTTCAACAGGAAACTACTTCCCCGCCCAGCCCAACAGCAGGACTAAGTGGAGCCTGAGGAGCAACTGCATTGCTTTTAACTGAACTAGGCTAAACTGGAAGCTGGTTTAGAGCTCCTAACACAGCCTCTAAATACAATTAACAAAGTTAAAGTATCCCAGCTGCCTCAGAAAAGCAGCCTATGGGAAAGCGGACAGAGGCAGCATAGGAAGAGGGAGCCAGAGAGACAAATGAGCTAGCAGAGGAGAAAGGGGCAGTTAACAATGCCCCTTCCCTTTTCCCATTAACCCACATGCCCTTCCGGGAATAGTCTGTGCCCTTCTAGCTTCTTTCAACTCTCACTTTTATTACAAAACTGAATCCATAATAGCAAGCAAGTTGAAAGTTGCACTGGGACCAGAAACTTCTGTCAAAATGACACAGAGTCATGAAAAAAGGAACAATGAGAAGGGACCCATAGCATTGAAAAGATTTTAAAAGACAGAGTTATCTACCTATCTATAAAGGCAACAATAAGAACAGTATTCACAGTGATGAAAAGGTGTTTGCAGACTCTCTCTGATACTGAATTCTCTCTTACCCCCTACAACGAGCTAGGATTTTTTGTTTTATTTTTACAGTGGAAGGATTTGCTGCATCCGGAAAAGCTGATTTTAAGAGGATTTTTAAATTGAAACAAAATTAAGCCAAGCTTTAATAGCAATAAGCCAGGGGATGTTTCAATAGGCTATTGGTGCACTGCAAAGGTGACAGAAAGCAGCGGGGCTGAAAAACGTAGATGAGGTGTGCTCCAACATTTGGGCAAACCAGAGTGTAGGTTATTGCTATGCAAAAAGATGGTACACAAATAAACAAAACACTGCAGAAGATAATGTGAGATCTATGTAGTGAAAACAAAAAACAGACAACGCCAGAGAACCATCCACCCAGCTGCTGCGTGCTGGGAGCATGCCAACAACTTTATTTATCCACTTGCACTAAGACCATTACATAACCATGTAATTACTACAAACAACCACAGGGTGGCAGCATAAAAGGAAAAGCCTGAACAAAAGGATTTGTAAGGATACTACAAGTACTGTCTGAAAATAACTGCATAAGTAAATCAGTCTTGTGCTAAATAAAAATAAAATATAAGAATGCTACAGGCTCTCATCTCCACTTCATGGTGCTCTCACGCACAGCTTTCACAAGTTGGCACTCTTCGAGCATAACAAGCCTTCTCAATTGCATGCATTCATTTATATGATAAATCATTTTTATATACTAAACAATCACATCTGAAAATTTGCCTCCACAGCAGAAGGTATTTTTTAAACAGTGTCATGTTATAAACAACCTGTTCTGACATAACTCATTTGAATTTCCTGCAGCCGTAGAGTTAGTTTTGAACTAAATGCCACTTTGCAGATATTTTGACAATCTTAGTCCTGGTGAAAAAGGAGGTTACTTCCTGTAACTGGAGGTTCTTCAAGATGTGTGGTCCCTATTTATATTCCATACATTGGTGTGCATGTGAGCCATGCACCTGAGACTGGAAGTGTTTCTCAGCAGTGTCTGTTGACCTGCACACGTGTAGTGCATCCCCTCATGCTCACAGCCGAGGATATAATAGATCAGGTGAGTCGATGCCTCACCAGGGTCCCTCTGTTGTGCAGTTTCGTCTGCAGCAGAGGACTTGAGGGTGGGTATTGGAATATAAATAGGGACCACATATTTCAAAGAACCTCCAGTTACAGGTAAGTAACTTCCTCTTCTTTGAGTGATAGTCACTATATGTATGCCATACATGGGTGATTAGTGAGCAGTGAGGAAGTGCAGTCTGCAGTACTGCTTGGCCTACAGCAGCCGCCGTACCCGTCGCGTGTGCTATGGCATAGTGGACCGTGAACATGTGGATGGAGTGCCAGGTAGCTGCACTACAGATTGTGCCATGAGATGTCCATCAGGCAGGCCAATGCGGATGCTTACGCTTGTGTAGAGTGCACTGTAACTCCATCAGGTGGGGAAATGTTGGATTGTGTGTAGCATTATGCACCCAGAGACTGAATTGGAGATTTATTAGGAGAAGAGGGTTTGGCCCTTGGATGGGTGAGCAATGGCCACAAATAGTTTTGGCGATGTGCAAAAGGAACAAGTCCGTGGAGGTAAAATGCCAGTGCACAGCAGACATCAAGGGAGTTCAGGACCCTGTCCGCATGGGAAGCGTGTGGTTTGTGGCAGAAAACAGGTAGGTAGATGCACTGATTTAGGTGGAACTTTGGGAGGAATTTAGGGTGTAGCCGTAAGGACACTTTGTCCTTGTGGAATACAGCGTAAGGGAGGTCTGCAATCATGGCCGCCAGTTCACTGACCCGGCTAACTGAGGTAATGGCTACCAAGAATATCACCTTAGGGAGCACATTGCCAGTGGCTCTGTGAGAGCAGAGATAACGAGATTAAGGTCCCTCGGGGATTTGGGCTCGAATACTGGCGGGAAGATATTGAGTAAACCCTTCATGAAATGGATGGTGATGAAATCAGTGTTTATCCAATAAACAATGGAAAGACACTGGAAATGGTTACTTAAGGGCTCGTCTATATGGAGCAATAATGAGGACGACGGGGTATAATTTCTAAAGCACACTAATGTGTTGCACATTTGTAGGAGCAGGATTTTATAACTGAACTATGAGAATTAATGTATGATTTGATTTTATCCTGTCAGCCACCCTTTTTGAATAGCAGAAAGGAATGACAGACCAGAACAATCCTTATGACTGATTATGGTCACCCTTTTGTTTTAGGGTAAGTTATAATATCTACTATGGTTTTCTATATGTATTGCAAGTTAGGCACTCTAGTTAAATATACATTTCTTTGCTTTGCTTTAAGGTTTTAGTAAGTAAGAGACAGGATCTTGTATTGTGTCTATGTTAAGGAGATTAGAGGAATGTTGAGGGCCTGAAGCCCCAATGTGAATTGTTTTAGTTATAAGATTTAGCAAGGCTTGGTTTACAGTGTGTGGAAGCAGAAAAAGAACGGTTATGCATTGCATCCCCTTCCTGTCAGTTCTTTCTCTGCTTCCACAAGTGTATTCTGCTGAATATAAAATGCTGTCTGTGTACCTTTGAAGGGTTCTGTAAGAGATTGTTTGTGTGAATGAGGAATGCATGCATCAGGAAAAGATAAGGTGTGAAAGCCATCACAAATGTCCAGATGGTCAAGAAGAAGTGAGAGACTTGGAAAAACCAGGAGACAATCAGAAAACATCCATTGTATCCGATGCTAAACATGTTAGCAGCATTCCCGACCTCAGAGGTGAGGCAGGCACCCCCGAAGGTGAGACAACAAATAGGAGATAACGATGGGAAGCCCGACAATAACCATCAAATAATAACACCACTTAAGGACTAATGATTACAGGATGACTTTGCAAAATGCAGGGACTCAAATGGGAATTTACAACTATAAAGCTGGGGTGTTTCGCCATGGAACTCTGGGTTCAGTCCTGCAAAGCCTCGGAGCATCGGATTGCGACCAACAAGAGCCCAGCTCCTCACTCATGCTCAATCTAACTGGCCATTAGACTGACTCGAGCTACAACACAGACTGGTAACTATAAACATCAACTGGCAGGAGGGAGTGAGAGTGAGACTAAAAAGCACATGCTAACTATTGTATTTTCAATAAATGCAGTGTTTTTGCCTTCTTCTCTATAAAGATCCCATGTGCTTTGTATGAGCATAACACATTAATTGGTCTGTTTAGACCCTGCTGGTGCACACTAAAAGTTCCCTAATGCACTTAACCGTAGTGCTGTTTGAAACAGCACTACATTAAAGTTCACTAGGGAACATTACAGAGAGATTATGCATTACATAACATACTGTGATGCGTTATGTATATTGCATACATTATTCATTACAGAACATACAAAGAGGGCCCTGAAAAACCCTGATTCTTTGGACACTACATAAAACTCAGAAATTGCTAAAAATAAACTCCAAAAAATGAAATGAATAAACCCTCAAAAATAGAAGCTCTGCCAAAATGACACTCAAGCTGTAGAACCGGGCATTGTAGTACTGATCTACACCTGAACTAAAGTAAGAGTTAAAATATTTACAGTTTTCACATGCAACAAAATGATTAATAGTAGTTACAAATAAGCCCAATTCTAAAGCCCTTATTTGGGTGATTAATCACTAGTCTTGCAAGTAGCTCCATTATTAATGTAATTGGAATTACTCACAGATTTAAGGATTAGTTGCCCAAATAATGGTTGAGTTATACATTCGTGGGTGGTTCTGAATACTTTTCCAGGCATAACAGCATCTCCTTTTGTAGCATTAGGTTGGTAGAACTGCTCTGCATAGCTTTGGTGACTTCCCTATTAGAAGACACTAATCTAATTTTCAGAGTACTCCCAAACATTCTCCTAGGGGCACTATACAACCTTTGTAACTTACACACATTGCCTATTTAAAATAAGCAGCTGGGTTGACAGGCTGAAATTCCTGACAATATTCCAGTGGGGGGGACCACGACAACCAGCTTGGAGGCTTTCTGGACAGTAGAGAAAGAAAGGGAAAAAAACCACTTGGGAAACCGCATTTTAAAGGGGTATAAACACCATCGGAATGGGATCTCAGGGTAGAAATTATTAATTATGTAGCACCATAAACATGCAAATTACTTTAAAGGCAAATAAAGGACAAACTCCATGACCCTGCTTACAATCAGATTGAAGAGGTTGTTACATGGCTTGGGAAGGGGATGGTTACAAACCCATAAGATGAGATAGTGGTTTTGGCTACAAATCCAGAAAAAGAAGCATTTATATCTATGTATCAGCATTGGCATACCCATTGCAAGCTACAACCAATCACATTGCACCAATATCTTACTGGATGAGAATCTCATTTTTACAACTTCTAACATGATCTGGCCAAGCAACCAAACGAATCCCCTTTAAAATACAACAGTCCGTCATTTTAGAAATCTCTCTGCATGCTGTAGAGCAGCATAATTTATAGCAACAAGTGTCTATTCAACAGCCAACAGAATTTTAATCATCATGTACCCTACTCCAGTACGTTTAAAAATAAATGGAACATAAGCAGCAACTGATCTCATGTCAACTGACATGTTGACAAAAAGAAGTATGCTAATTTCAGCTCCATTCCAAACACTACATGACATCAATGCTTGTTAGCGGACAAGGATAAAACTGGTAGGAGAAATCTAAGTTCTTGCTTATTTTAGGTATTAATGTAAACTATGAGAAGGTTTTTAAAAAATATTCAGATAAAAGCAATTTTAAAAAGTTACGTACTATATGAAATATATTTCTATTTATGAAACTTCTCCATCTGGCTTCCCTGCTGTAGATTATTAGTAGTATTACTCCAATACTGTCCTAGAAGTAGTACCAGCACAGCCTCATCCATAGTAAAGCCTTATAATGCTCCTTACAGGAAACTTTAAAGTGCATGGTTTTACCCTCATTAGAGGCAAGACTTGAATGCATACATGCCTGGTGTATTAAACTGGTCACACAACATGATTCCAGTTCCTCATTTAACCAGCAGAACTGTAAACAATTTTCACCGTTCTTGAAAAGCTTTTTATAGCTTGCAGAGTGTTCCCTCGTTATTGTAAATCTTGCTGTCCTAAGTATGTAGAGAGAGATTTCTAAAATGATTCAACTTTAAACTTCAAATAAACTTAGAAGTGTATTCACTGGCACTGCTAGAAGACTATGTCCGAACAACCAGTGACAAGGAGGACTAGTGTTGCTTAATACCCTCTTCTACAGAATCAAAAATAACTGATATAAAGGTCACTTTTGTCTATCCCTTGACAGTGCTGGATTCTTCCCTTTAAGTCCTTTCTCATTCTTGAGTATTTAGTGTGTAGCTATGAAAACTTACCAAAATATTTTCTAACTCACCAATCACAACCTGTATTATACCACGAGCTCCAAATAGGTAAGATTCCATATCTCACAAAAGGCATCTCATTATGCTCCAGTCTTGTACTGTTTATACCAGTGATACTCAGACTGCGACCCATGAGCCACGAGTGGCTCTTTAACGTGTCTCCTGCGGCTCTTTGCAGCACATAATATTAAAACACTGTGTGATTTAATTATTAACCCCTCTAAGTTATTAACCAATCAGGATGCTTTTATGATGTTAACCAATTAAATTATTAACTTATTTGCTCTGAGAATAATATATATGTATATAAAAACTAAGTATTTCCCCTGTCATACTGTTTAAATATGAACAGTAGTAAATAAAACAATGAATTCACACTACTGTGGCTCTTTTGGTTAATTTGACTCCTGAACCACTGAAGTCTGCGTATCACTGATTTATACCATGGTTCCTATGGATTCCTGATAGTGACTCCACAGTTAAGGTTGTAAGGCAGTTTCAGTTATAAACACCCAATTTTTCACACACGCATCTTACTTTCCTCAAAAAGAATTCCTTTTGAAATGTCTTCTATAGTTACATGTTGGTCAATCAGTTCCTACTGTCTTCTCTCTCACTCTAGTATTATTTCTCTTTTTACAACAAACCTTTTCAAAAACTAACTTCAATTCCCAGCCCATTTTAATTCAGAACACTGTGTCGTCCGCCCAATGCTTTTCAAAGAAACATTTTCCTCTAAATGTCTTGTTATTTATAATAATAATCTCCTAATGATAGGATTCTTAAAAAAGCTTGGTTGTCTTTTTAATCGGAATGCTCTTGGTACATCTCCACCTGCTAGTTAAGAACATACTTAAAAATACTTTTGTAAATACTTGTAGACCACTGCAGAATTTACAGAACAATCTCAATTGTTTTAACTCCTCTTAATTTAAATCCTGCAGAACCCTAATAAAACTGCATAATATCTAAAGACACTCACTGATCTCACTTCTATATTATTCTTTACTTGGAAAACTTTATAATAGGGCCCAATTCTGATCTCTTACCACTGAACAGAATTTACTCCTGATTTATACTATTATACAGGAGATCAGAATCAGGCCCATAATCTTGCTGAAACATGCAGAAAAACAAAGCTACAGTAAACTGTGCTATTATAAGAAAACCTTCCTGATTAAAAACAGTGCTGAGAGTTTAAAGCAGTATCCAGCTTGGTGATATTACAACTGAATCACTCCGTAATGCGTGCTTTGTCCACAATCTGATGTGGACCCTCCATGTTGCCCTTGCACAGGAAAACTTAAGTTTTTGCTTATTTATTTAAAAAAATGCTTCCCCCCTGCACACATAACCCTCCAACTCCTCCGCCCCCAGTTTTTACCTTGTCCTCTCTCCCTTTAGCTCTAGATTCCCTCTCTCGGCTACTGGCAGGCTTTTCACTTTTTGATATTGGGTGTGCTCTGCCCACAGGCCCTCGCGGCTGCAATCCTGGTGATTCTTTCCTCAAAGGTTTAACTTCTCGGTTGGGACGTTTTATCTGAGGTGGAGCCCTGGCAAACAAAGAAAATATATCAATCACAGTTTAAAAAAAAAAAAAAAAGGATCAATACCAAAAACTCATCACTCGTGACCAACCCTACAATAACCAACCAAAATGCATGTGGAAAAAACAAATCAGATTTCAGTTTCAGGCTCTGAGTTTCAGTTTCCTGTAGCTATAAATCATGGGACTAAATTATGCTATATTCAAAAGCACAGATCCTATAAGAACAGTTGTAGAAGAAATTCTGCGAAATAGGCTACCTAAGAACTTTGACAGGCCTCAATATCTAAGAGAGCAAGACAATGAGAAAAACGTGACCCATTCTCAATCTTAATCGCCCCATGTGAAAGTGTCAACACTTACAAATTGTCCAGAAAGTTAGGACTAGATAGAACCAAACTGCATACTCAGACACCTTTGTATACCTCCCACTGACCTTAACGGAAACTGAGCTGTGGTATGAGGGGTCAGAATTTGGTTTTAAGATTAAACTGAGGTCATATTCATTTTGCTTGGGAGGTCAGTTTAGACTTGAAATACAGAACAAAATATATGGCCAAGATGTAATCAATTTAAACGACTGTTCCCTCTAATAAATCCCTTTATTCATGTTTGCTGCCATTGTTTCAAAACTTGCAACTACTTTCTTGAAAGATTAATTTTTAAAAGTCTCACACACACATTTTCACAAACTGGATGTGATTATTAAGTATTTACTTCAAATAATTTTTCATCATGCGTAAAGAAACAGAGTTGCTGCAACTGTTACCGTTGAAAGTAATTTTCTTTAGTCATCTGCAGCCGCATGAGACTAATTTATTTTACAAGTGGGGTTGACCTGCTGGGATGGGTCACCTCTCCCATCTATGACCCCACACCCAAGCCAAGAAACAGTTTAATCTATAAACAACATAAATAAATAAATCCACTTTGCACTGCCCTTCATCCAAAATCGCCTGCAAACTTTAAAGCTCACTGTGACACTGGCAGACCAGGTGCCAGCTCGTACTAAGGTCCCCATGTCTCAACTGAACATTGACAGATACATAGCTGGAGCCAGTCTGGCTGTTAGTATTGTTAAAATAGGTATTAGAATTATAAGAATGTGTTTAGATTTTATTGAATGCTTGTGAGCTGCTGCATGCATTAATCTCATTTATAACATCTGTATCCCATATTATAAGGTAATAATTGAGAAGTTGTAATCTAAGCCTCTGTAAATCACCAGACAGGAGAGAGAGACATTAGCTAATGTGAAATGCTGGTCTCCCACAGAAGGTGTTACATCCTGTCCAACACGGAAGGTCCATTGACACCAGATGGACTATTGTGGGACATTAAAGAGGACAAAATAAATGTATTTGTTTTGCCTTCCGCACATGAAGATGAGTCATGCAAGTGGATTCCTCCTATCAGCTGAGTTTGCAGCTCAGAGAACAAGGGATGAGGGAGATAAAAACTCGTAATAAGAAGGAACTGGAGATTTATGCTGCTTGGACTCTAGAGGGCCAGGTTTCCTAGACATAAGAAAGAGGTCCACACAGCTGCTTAGCCTGGATTAGCCCTATTAAACCTATAGCGCTTGTTTATTATAGAAGCTTCTATTACCTTTTGAAATTTAAGATTGTAACTCATCTGTGTGTATCTGTTTACTTGCTTTAACCTTGTATGTAACTCTTATTTCCTTTCATATTTTAATAAATCTGTATATAATTTATTATAGGATTGGTTACAAGCATTGTCTCTGGCATGAGATCTAAGGTACAACTGACCTTGGGTAAGTGACTGGTCCTTTGGGACTGGGAATAACCTGAATATTGTTGTGATTCTTGGTGTAAGGGACCATCTATCACAAAGGTATGTTCACCTGGGGACAAGATAGAATGGAGTACCCAAGGGGACTGTCTATGACTCCTTGTTTGGCTGTTATAATGCCTGAGGAGTTTACACTTGATAACTGGTTGGTGAAATCTAAGTATAAAATTCACAATCAATTTGGGGCTAGTGCCCTGGTTCTTAATAGTCTGTCCTGAGGTTGGTACTCATGCTCTCGAGTCACTGAGTAGCTTGACACTCACAATTGTGTAATGGGGTAGAGATAGGGGAAACTGAAGCAGCAAGCTATGGTAATGTTTTACACCCACTTTGAACAGGGAGTAAATGACTACACATGTTATAAAGTCATGAAGAATCAGGCCCCTGTCCACTAGGTAATGCACTAAGAAAACCAAACATTTCATATAGCCTACAAAATAGCTTTTGGTTAGTAACTGCTTCCAATTACTACCAAATTCCCAATTTTGCTACTCAGCTCTACATCATTCAGTGATATCTTGCAACATGATAAATATCCCAAGAGCAGGCCACCCCCTTCCACCTCCCACGGATTGCTGTCGTCCATCCCACAAGTGCCTGTATTCCAGTTCTGCTGAGCAGGATCCTTCCAGATGAAAGGTATTTTAGAAATCTAAAGCTAATACAGATGCTTTTCTTTTTTCTATTGTATCCCTCAATTCCAACTGGCAAAAAAAAAGCCTCCTATGACCTGATAAGAAAGTCTTTAGGACTTCATGAAAGTTTTTAATAAATAAATAAATAAATAAATCAGACAACTGACCCCTCTTTCAAACAACAAAATGGGCAACTCAACTATAGTCAGAGAACCCCTTAACTACAATGTGTAACACTTTTATGTAGTAAAAAGTTAGACTAGAGACCTACATTAGGGGCCTGTTATATAGGGTTACCATATTTCAATACTGAAAAAAGGGGACACTCCAGGGGGCCCTGGTCCCGCCCCAACTCCGCCCCTTCCCCACCCCCGGCACCGCCCCTTCCCCGGCCCCGCCCCAACTCCGCCCCTTCTCCAAAGTCCCTGCCCCAACTCCGCCCCCTCCCCTGAGCACCCCGCATTCCCCCTCCTCCCTCCCGCCCCCCGGGCTCCGGCTGCTGCTGCGCTGAGGAAGTTGCTTCGGCCCCAGCGCATGGTGGAGAGCAGCGGGAGCCAGGAAAGTTGGAGCCCGGGGAGGAGGCAGTCCCCTTACCATGCCTCCCTATTTTCCCGGACATGTTCGGCGTTTTGGAAATTCCTCCCGGATGGGGATTTGAGGACCAAAAAGCCGGACATGTCCAGGAAAATCCGGACATATGGTAACCCTACTGTTATAAAGTCCACTGAATTCAATGGGAGTATTTCCACGGACTACAGTGGGCTTTGAATCAGGCCCTAGCTCTGTAAAGCATCACCTTGTCTGCAGATTTCCTTCAGTACTAAAGCAATTGGCTTCAGGCAACATATTACGTATCTTAGGCCATACCTGAACCACTACTGACCGCAAAAACAGTCACAGTTCACGAATAACCCATCCTACAATATCAGGGATCAGGAGTGGCTGATTTAATAGGTCTCTTCTATCTGTAATTTTTATTATTCCAAGGCATTTACAATAAACAAAGAATTTTGTTAGCATTAAAGTTGTTCAAGTGAATTTCTTAGCAAGACAATCATCAAAAGTCAAGAAAATCAGTTATGGAAATATTAATATCCTGCCCAACCTCCATACATAGGCCTTACCACACCATAATACCCAAACTCACTTCCTCTTCCACTGTACAAACACATCCAATTCCTCAAAAATCACCCCCACAATTGAACTGCAGAATTCTTTTTAGGTAGCAACAGACTCTTGAAAAATCAATTTGTCCACTGGTAAGAGATATTAAGGTTCAAGGGTGGAGTTAAGGTTTGAACTATCCCAAAGTGCTTTCCAGTTACCTGTGCTCAGCCGGAACTGGAGGTGGCCAAACAGCAGGATCCCTAAATGGCTCATCTTGATAGGATACAGGAATATCTGGAGGTTTGTCTATTTTAAAACTCTCTAACGTGTTGACAATACTCTTTACTTGCTCATATTCCTCCAGTAATTCTTGCCGGACCTTCAAAATAAACAAGTGATTTCAGAAAAAAAAGGGTTTTAATTTTTGCACGTCTTTTTTTATATATACAATCTCAATTTACAACAGAATAAAAGGTTTAGAGAATGTTTACTACAATAGAATAAATTAACATTTACGAAGAACTAACGGCCCAATCCAGCAGCTCTTAGATATGCGACTACTCCTATTACACTTCAATGGAACCTTGAGAGCATGGGCTGCAAGATCCATGCCCTGATATTGTTCAAAACTTGACAGAGATGTTCACTTGTACAGGTGAACCGTCACAATACATTCAAAGCATCAGGAAATGTTTTCAGTAACACAGACATGAGAGAGGGAAATAAAGGTAGCCCAGGTTAAGACGACAACTAAAGCAACAGAAGAAACTGGGAACATGACTTACTTTTATAATTTGTTTTCAGTGTTATTGTAGCTATGTTGGCCCCAGGATATGAGAGAATCAAGGCGAGTGAGGCAATAACTTTTATTGGACCAACTTCTGTTGGTGAAACAGACAAGTTGACATGAAGAAGAGCTCTGTGGAGGTCAAAAGCTTGTCTCTTTCACCATAAGCACCCAGTTTCTAATCTGCCGGGAGGTGCTCCCCCCGGCTCTGCTCTTACTCTACCCCTTCTCCCAGTGCCCTATCCCCGCCCTGCTTGTTCCCACCCTGCCTCTTCTCACCCCTTCCCCGCCCAGTTCTGCCCCCTCACCCGAGCACACTGTGCCTTTGCTCCTCCCCTCACCCCCAGCACCTCCTGATGCAGCGAAACAGCTGATGCACAGCAGGCGGAAGGCACTGGGAGGGAGGGGAAGGCGCTGATCGGCGGTACCCAGCGGCAGGCAGAAGGCGCTGGGGGGGGGGGAGCCATTGATGGGGGGCTGCCAGTGGGTGCTAAGCACCCACCATTTTTTTTCCTGAGGGTGCTCCAGCCCCGGAGCACCCACGGAGTCGGTGCCTATGTCTTTCACCAACAGAAGCTGGTCCAATAAAAGATATTACTTCACTCACGTTTTCTTACTTTTATAACGGAAGTCTGACTTTGAAGTTATACACTTGCATTGTATGTTTGAAACTTCCATTTTCTACTGGTCAGGGAATATAGTAGATAACTAGCACCATTCAAATAGATAATTCCTTAAAATGTATCTCATACTTGTTAATCCCCTATCTGTTGACTCATGGCCTGATCCAACTCCCACTGAAATCAAGGAGATCCTTTTCTTTAATGCACTAAATTAATTTTTCTATTAAACCCAAATATTAGAAATGTCAAGTTAATGTGGCAGTTTGACAAACCTTAGTAAGTGCCAAGACCTTTCATAGCCCCAATGTAAAGACCTATGAATAGTATGATATTTCGTTTACATACAATATGATGGGGGCTAATTTAGCTACAACTAATCAGGAAAGAGATCTTGGAGTCATCGTGGATAGTTCTCTGAAGACGTCCATGCAGTGTGCAGCGGCAATCAAAAAAGCAAACAGGATGTTAGGAATCATTTAAAAAGGGATAGAGAATAAGACGGAGAATATCTTATTGACCTTATATAAATCCATGATTCACCCACATCTTGAATACTGAGTACAGATGTGGTCTCCTCATCTCAAAAAAGATATCCTGGCATTAAAAAAGGTTCAGAGAAAGGCAACTAAAATGATTAGGGGTTTGAAATGGGTCCCATATGAGGAGAGATTAAAGAGGCTAGGACTTTTCAGCTTGGAAAAGATGAGACTAAGGGGGGATATGATAGAGGTATATAAAATCATGAGTGGTGTGGAGAAAGCGAATAAGGAAAAAAGTTATTTACTTGTTCCCATAATATAAGAACTAGTGGCCACCAAATGAAATTAATGGGCAGCAGGTTTAAAACAAATGAAAGAGGGTTCTTCTTCACACAGCGCACAGTCAACCGGTGGAACTCCTTGCCTGAGGAGGTTGTGAAGGCTAGGACTATAACAGGGTTTAAAAGAGAACTAGATAAATTCATGGAGATTAAGACCATTATTGGCTATTAGCCAGGATGGGTAAGGAATGGTGTCCTTAGCCTCTGTTGTCAGAGGGTGGAGATGGATGGCAGGAGAGAGTTCATTTGATCATTACCTGTTAGGTTCACTCCCTCTGGGACACCTGGCATTGGTCACTGTCAGTAGACAGGATACTGGGCTGAATGGACCTTTGGTCTGACCTAGTATGGCCATTCTTATGTTCCTACGAATACTGTTGAAGTCAGTGGGAGTAATCCTGGTCTGAAAGTTAAGCACTTGAGCTTTAATGACTTATTCTGGCCACATTAAAGTCAATGGCAAAATTCCTATTTATTTCAGTGGTGGAAGGATTGGACCTTTTAGATCATTTGAAAACTGATCAGCTTGTCTTCTGCCTTCGTCCTGAATTCCCTCCGTTATACAAAAAGTGTTTTCCAACATCAACAAATTAATCTTTGGAGGATGTGTGTACAAAGTATATACTATGAATACACTTTGTATACATATCTTATACAAATTCTTATTGTATAAAACTTAATTTGAATGGGATGCAATATGTCTTGTGCATTTTTTTTATTTAACTAAGGAGATAATCTCAGGTAATTATTTTAAATTTTGCCTGTTTACAGTAGTATCACGTACAAACATAAACCTGTATTGTCCCTTTACTTTGTCCATTTTGCCTTGATAAACAGATTTTTTGTGTGCACGTTTTGAATGAAGCTGAAGTTAACATAGAATATTTTGTCTACAACAACTTTAATTTATATAGTGCCTTATTTTGCCAAAATGTGTCTGACATCAGTATCAATCTAATTATGTGTGTTTGTTTAAAGTCTGCACAGCACATAACACTGGACCAAGCTCTATCCTTGGTTGCCTGCAGGGGGCTCCTACTAAAGTCATGATACCAGCATGCCCAGATCCAAGGACAGAATTTGTCCCATTGATTTTGCTAGATTCCACAAAAATAGGCAGTTTTTCTGCTCATCCCTTCCCATCGCCGCATATAGCCTGTTTTTTTTTTCAAAGTGATATTTGGAATCCAAGAGATGTATGCTGTAAGAATTTATCCAAACCCAGACTGACATATGTGAGTTCATGCAAGTTAATGGACTCCAAGATCCAACGCTAATATTGTTACAATATTGAGCTAAATCAAATGTTTTGGCCTAAAAACTGTGACATTATCCCTCAAAGATTTCACATCTGTTGTTAATATTGTGTTTAAGTATTGAATCCATGATTTATGCATTTCAGCATTTTGTATGTTTTCCTTGCTGTGGGATCTATCTGCCTTGGAATCTCAGATGACACCTGCTTATAGCATTAAGTGATGCAGCACACTGTCTGCTGCTTATCTATTTCTATTGCTATGCCAGTCTGCTTCCTCCACCTCTGCACTAACACAGATCAGTAGCTTGAGAGCAATTTACCTCCCATTAACACTACAGATTCATTCTCACTCTTTCCATCGCTCCTAGAAATCGAACCACAAATACTCCTCATGCAAATAACGTTGACCACATGCCCAAGTGATGGTGAGATCAGGGCCTAAGAGTACTATCTGAAGGTAACATTATAGATAATTGCAACTATATTGATCTGTTTAATGATGCAAGCCCATCTCACATCATAGCTTACTGCTTATTAGTTGGATGAAAGATGAGGAAATCATTATAGTATTAGTAGAAAACATAATAGTATTTCCAAAATAGGCAGTCACACACAATTAGTCCGTTGATTAGCAAGACACACTATGAAGACAAGAAAATTGATTCAATTAGAACTAAAGAATCCCTTCTAACTATGTCACAAGAAATATTGCCACATAAATATCATGAACTTCAATTTAGCCAATATATATTTGGGCTACATTTTAAAAAGCTTGTGCAATGTTGTATTTCTTTCCAAATCTACCACATACAGTGCAATACCACTTCATCATACCTGTTGCCATTTGCCCTTAACTGCTGGGTCTCGGATTGATTGACAGTGTCTCTGAATCTGCTGGATGACACCTTGGTAATATACCATAGAGGAGTCGTAGTTCCCAAGAAGCGCATATTCTCTCCCTTTTTTGGCATTATCACAAATCTCAGCCAAATTCATCGTCTCTCACAAACCTAAAACATAACATTTAATCATAAAAGACGAAAACTTGTACAGGCTATATAATGATTCAGAAAATCATTAGGTAGTTTTTGTTTTGCTATTGCTTGTATGGCTGCTTTACATCCATTTTACCATTTAGATGTACAGATTATTATAGTACCTCCTTATTATGCTGATTATTGACAATAAACCACAATGACTGGTAAAGCATATGTATTTTTCCTCTACCCTGAGCCTGTTAAATCATTACATGCAAGTGGACTGCAGCACCCATACTGAGCCCTCTTGTTGTCAAGATTCAGTTTACAGCAGGGATCTCAAACTCAAATCACCACGAGGGCCGCATGAGGACTAGTACATTGGCCCGAGGGCCGCATCACTGACACCTTTTCATATAAAGGTACAAAAGTTCCGTGTCCCCGCGGGCTGCCCCCGGCCCTGCCCCCACTCCACCCCTTCCATGAGGCCCTGCCCTTACCCCACCTCTTCCCCGCCCCCATTCCAACCCCTTCCCCAATGTCCCCACCCCAACTCTACCCCTTCCCTGCCCCTATTCCAACCCCTTCCCCAAATCCCCACACCTGCCCTGCCTCTTCTCCGCCTCCTCCCCTGAGCGCGTGGCTCCCCGCTCCTCCCCCTCCCTCCTGGAAAGTGCTAAGCGCCGCCAAACAGCTGTTCGGCAGTAGGAAGCACCTGGAGGTAGGCAGAGGAGCAGGGACGCGGCGCGCTGGCGGGGGGAGGGTGGGGGGGAGTGGGGGAGGGGAGCTTGGCAGCCGCAGGAAATAACTCCGGGGCCACGTGTTTGAGACCCCTGGTTTACAGCAAGCTAGCGTGTAAACATAGTGCACAGCAGGCTAGGGCAGGGTAAGTGCCTGTGTGGACCATGCTGCCTTACACTAACAGTTCACTAATGTGCTTTAATCTATTCCAGTTTCAAAGTGAGTCAAAGCGCACTACGGAACTTTTAGTGCATGGGAGCAGGGTCCACATCATAGAAGCTTGGTTCATGGCAGGTGTCATGAATATAAAGGGAAGGGTAACAACCTTTACGTATGCAGTAACAAAATCCCTCCTGGCCAGAGGTACAGAATCACTTTACTTGTAAGGGATTAAGAAGCTCAAATAACCTGGTTGGCACCTGACCAAAAGGACCAATAAGGAAAGAAGATACTTTCAAATTGGGAGGGGGGGGAAGAAGAGAGGTTTTGTTTGTGCTCTCTTTGTTTGTTCTCTCTCTGGACAGAGAGAGAGACCAAGCAGGTAAACCATCTCCTGAAAAGATACCTGAAATGATACATCTAAAATTACAGAAATTGTAAGTAAAGGCAAGGAAATGCGTTAGATTATCTTTTGGTTTAACTTGTGAATTTTCCCTATGCTAAGAGGTAATTTCATTCCTGTTTTGTAACTGGAAAGCAGAGTCAGAGTCTGTGTTTTAAATCTTTTTATTTACTTTGTAAAGTTACCTGATTTTGCAGGTGTGATTCTTTTACTTTTTTTTTTAAAATAAAATTCTTCTTTTAAAAACCTGATTGATTTTCAGTGTCCTAAAAACCCAGGGGTTTGGTCTGTGCTCACTTTGTAACCAATTGGTTAGTATATTATTCTCAAGCCTCCCCAGGAAAGGGAGTGAAGAGGCTTGGGGGGGAATATTTTGGGGAAACAGGGACTCCAAGTGGCCCTTTTTCCTGGATTTTGGTCTAAATCACTTGGTGGTGGCAGCAATACCATCCAAGAACAAGAAAAGGATTTGTGCTTTGGGGAAGTTTTAACCTAAGCTGGTAGAAATAAGCTTAGGGGGTCTTTCATGCAGGTCCCCACATCTGTACCCCAGAGTTCAGAGTGGGGAGGGAACCCGGACAGCAGGCTAGTGCAGGATACATTTACGCCCCATTTCACTGCAAACTAATTGTTCGTGTACAGAATCAGGCTTTAATTTATAGAACACCACAACATATATTAGCAACCATCCACCCATGAATCACACATCACATGAGGCTTTACATTTATTATATTATTTGTATTACATGAGTGATTAGGAGATCCAATCAACATTAAGAGCCCACTGTGTTAGGATCTTTTGAAAGACCTCATCTTAACCAGGTTACATTTTAAATATACAAAATAGGGAAAGGACAGAAGAAAGGGAAAGGCCATGTAAGCAGAAGTTTGGGAACAGAGACAGAGTCAAGAATTGACCTCAGCTCTCAACTCCCATTTGAATGCGCCTTAACTACAAGACTATCCTTCTTCTCTTTTAAAAATATTTTCTCCTTATTAGCAGTTGCCCTGAAGATATCTCGAACCCAGTAGTTCGCAGCTACACTATGTCTAAAGAGCTCAGTTACACTCCATGCACTATAAAGACAAATGTACTTCTGTATACTATCCAATTTCTTTTAATTTGTGTAGTGTACCTAACAAGGTCTAACGAGGCAAATGTTTGTCGGCTTTTTTGAGTTTTCTTCAAATATGAATTTCAATGCTCATGAAACGACAGCAATAGAAACTGAAATCATAGGACATGACATGGGCAGTGGTGTTGAAAGCGTGGAGACACTTTGTCCCAGGAATGTTGCTTTTACTTGAATCATAAAACAAGGTTACTCCCCTGGCGTTGGAGGTCTTCAAAAAGATTGTCAAAAAGGATCTACGTCACTGGGGTGGACTCAAAGATTGGAGCCCTCTGAAAAGTTTCTGAGAACTTGGTGAGATGGATGCTGGTGCCAATCAGAAATTTTTGGTAGGATCTATGAGGCCCTTATTAATACAACCCCTCTGTCTGACTGTCTCATTTCCAGAATAGCCAACAATTTGTGAGACTTTTCTTGAACAGTAGATAGCTCAAAGACCAATGCATCCATGCTCCTGATGAGCAGGTTTTGGAAGATTTTACATCTTCCATAATACTGATGATGTCTATCGTAACATACTCTAGAGAAACATGAGTTCTATGGAGTATGGCCTACACTCTCTTCCTCAGCTGTGGAATCTGAATCATACCTCAGTGAAGGAGGTAGTACAGGGGTTTGGCAGGTTGGTATACCAAGGGGGAGATTAAAAAGTGACTGCCATTCCTATCCTCCAAGACTGTGATGTCCAGAAAGGCCAGTTGGCTCATGGCAGATAAACGTGCAAAATGGCCCTTGTGCAGAAGGTGGGGTTCAAATACTTTCTCCTGTATCTGTTTATTTTTCCATCCCATATAATAGTCCTGTTTAAAACTGCCAACAACCGTGTTTCCAGGTGAATTTAAAACAGGGGTTCTCAAACTGGGGGTTGGCACCCCTCAGGGGGTTGCGAGGTTATTACATGGGGGGTTGCAAGTTGTCAGCCTCCACCCCAAACCCTGCTTTGCCTGCAGCATTTATAATTATGTTAAATATATTAAAAAGTGTTTTTAATTTATTGGGGGAGGGGATCACACTCAGAGGCTTGCTATGTGAAAGTTTGAGAACCACTGATTTAAAACAACTTGCACGTCATTTTTGACACCAGTATCTCATCTAATCATCGTGTGGCTCTTTCCTACACTAGAGTAAAACAGCTTCCCGTCAAGACATCCTTAGAAATGTCTTCGTTCACGGATCATTGACAAGAGGAAGCGTTTACAGACATTAGTGTCAATATAGCTGCCACACATGGGCCCTAAGTTTGCTTGTTAAAAATCCTGCACTAGCTAGGCTAAACAGGTTACAAGGGATATCAATCTTCATTCTTTGGCGCATAAGTTGAACTGATCCCTAACTGGAGTCAGGAAATAATTTTTCTCCTCTGTGGCATACAGTTCACCACTCACCAAGTACATCTTGTATAAAAGGCTTTAGCCTTCTCTGGAGGAGCATCATTATATTGGCTACTACCAGGGGACAGTTGTAGGCAAAGCTGGTAGCACTATCTTTTAAGATTGTCCAATACTTCCCATTATGAGATCCGTTTTTTAACTGCTTATAACTTGCCAAACTTTAATCATTTGGGATGAAATTCTATATGCTGGGTGTTCGGCTCAGACTGGTTTTTTTTAAATTTCAACCAAAACAATTCAGCCATATCAGAGAACAAGGTTAGGGAAAAATGTATTTTACCCATGTTAAAAATTCTGATGACCTTTTCTTTGAACAGTTCTAGTACCCCCAAGCTTTGCAGCAGAGACTTGAAATTGGGTAGGGAGTTGGCCTCTTAGAGCTTCCAGTGCAGAATTGGAGTCAGAACTGGCTTCGAGCCCTTAGAAGTTCCAGTCTTCAGTCATATCCAGTTCCGTTTCCCAGAGAGGGTCTGCTAAACCCAAAGGTAGCTTTAGACACCACACCAAATCCACTTTCCTTGGTGTCGAGAGATGGAGAAAAGAGGAATACATGGTACCATTGCTCCATGCAGTCCTGTTCCTGAGGATCAGGCAGGCGGTTGGCACTGAAGGTTAAGGTGGAATTATCTGGTGCTAAGGTAGGAGGTTCTTGTGAAGTACACCTCTACCCCTATATAACATGACCCGATATAACATGAATTCGGATATAACGCAGTAAAGCAGTGCTCCGGGGGGGGGGGGGGCGGGGCTGCGCACTCCGGCGGATCAAAGCAAGTTCGATATAACGCGGTTTCACCTATAACGCGGTCAGATTTTTTGGCTCCCGAGGACAGCGTTATATCAGGGTAGAGGTGTATACTCCATCAAATGTTCTATCATCCTTGATGGATACAATGTATCATAATCTCTGCAGTTGCTTGTAGAACAGCAATTCCCAACCTTGGGCAGGAAGGGGGAGGGGGGCCTGCCAGCAGGTTACAGGGGGTCTGCCAAGCAGGGCCAGTGTTAAACTCACTGGAATCCAGGGCAAAAAGCTGAAGCCCCGCTGTGGCAAGGCTGAAGCCCAAACCCAAGCAAATTAGCTTCCTGGGGCCCCTGTGGCATGCGGCCAAGGGCAACTGCCCTGCTTGCTACCCCCTAATGCCAACCCTGGCTTTTATATGCAGAAAAACAGTTGTTGTGACACAGATGGGCCATGGAGTTTTT